GACTTGAATTTCTTCAAGTAGCAGCAATGGTCCATCTTGCATCTAGTGTATCCATTCCGTTGCATAAAACTGTCAAACCTCAAGTACCACTGTCTAGGAGCTTGCTTTAGCCCGTATAGACTCTTCTTGAGTTTGCACACCAACTTCTCCTTGCCACTCACTGGGAACCCTACTGGTTGAGCCATGTAAATGTCTTCTTCAAGGTTGTCATGAAGAAAGGCAGTCTTTACATCCAACTGCTCCAATTGCAAATTTTCAGCAGCAACAATACCAAGGATCAACCTGATAGTAGTCATCTTCACAACCGGAGAGAAGATTTCATTGTAATCAACCCCCTTCTTCTGTTGGAACCCCTTGACAACTAACCTCGCCTTGTATCTTTTGCTCCCATCTGCTTCATCTTTGATTCTGAACACACACTTGTTCTCCAAAGCTTTCTTTCTCGGTGGTAACTTGACTAAGGACCAAGTTTGGTTCTTATCAAGTGAGTCTAACTCATCCTCCATGGCCTTCTTCCACTGTATGGAATCCTTCACAATCAGCGCCTCCGTGTAAGATTCTGGCTCTCCATTCTCGGTCAGCAACAAATAATTTGCTGAAGGAGAATATCTGTTAGGAGGTCTTCTGTTTCTAGTGGACTGTCTGATATGTGGAGTAGCTTCCTCCGAGCTCCCACTATCTTCATCACTCCCACTATCTTCAGAAATTCCTGTATCTCCTGAGCTCCCACTGCTCCCTGAGCTTCCAGCCATGCCATCACAACCAATAGGTTGTGCTATGTCATCTTCAGTCATCCCTTCAAACACCACTTGCTGTTTGTTTTCTGGTTGCTTGCCTTTGCTAGTGTCTGCTGCAAGATCATCTTTATACAGGGCATTCTCGTTGAAGGTGACATCTCTACTTCTGATAACCTTCTTGTTGTGGTTGTCCCAGAACCTGTAGCCCATGTCATCCAGCCCGTACCCAATACATAAATACATACATACATACATACATACATACATACATACATACATACATACATACATACATACATACATACATGTAATCATTGAATGAAATACGATGTATTGTATTCAGTAATAATAATAACAAAAATTAATTAATCCAATATTTAGAAGCTTGGTAAGAGGGTTTTGATGAGTCATGTCTGAACTGGGATTAATTTTATCGGAATTAGGAAACACAGATTTTAGGACATAAATTAGAATAGAAGTCTATAAATTAAATAAGGTGAAAGTGAAGCAAAGGGTTAATTAGTTACTGTGGCATCATTCTAGAGCGCCATATATATTGCGGTTTGATCCATAATCACATAGAGACTAGAGACGATGGAAGAGGACCTATACTTCACCACTTTTATGATGGAGGACGTGCAATTTTGACGGTGACATGCGGCGGCGAGGATTCCAGGTGTTATCGCCGCCATGTCCACTTCACGTACGAGATTGTGGGTCTCGAGTCATTCGAGGATTCCACACCACGTGTGTCTTTAGCGACTTGTTGCACGCTTCGTAGTGTTAAGATCAGGGGTTCCATCCTAAAAGGTCAACCTAATAGGATGAGTAGTCCACATTTTAATATAGCACTTAATGCCTTCACAAATATCCGGTGTGGGAATTCAACACCACTCCTCACGACTAGACATTTCGTCTGGATCGTACCGTCATTCATTTTTTTCATCGGTTCGTTATTGTCAATCATTTTTCATAAGGGGGCCCACACCATGGATCGATTTGGCTCTGATACCATGTTAAGACATGTGTTTCCATCCTAAAAGGTCAACCCTAGGTCTTAACACGGTATCAGAACCAAATCGATCCATGGTGTGGGCCCCTTATGAAACATGATTAACACGATTATTAAAAAATGACAATAACAAACTGATGAAAAAAAAGAATGATGGCACGATCGAGACGAAGTGGCTGGTCGTGAGGAGCACCTAATGCCTTCACAATTATCCGGTGTGGGAATTCAACACGGAGGAGCACCGTCATGACCTCTTCCGGGAGGAGTTCTCGTTAAGGCCCATTGAAGATGACTCGAGATACGCACCACCACCGTCATTGCTCGAGTCGCCCGGGTTCGTAGTGTTAAAATCCGTCACCTGGGTTCGTAGTGTTAAGATCAGGGGTTCCAGTCCAGGTTCGTAGTGTTAGAATCCAACACCGTCATTGCTCGGGTCGCCCAGTCCAGGTTGAGCGTTCGGGTCGACTTATGCACCACCGCCTATGATGAGGATGAGGCGGATGCCTTGGGTCATTTACCTGATCATGCCGCGGCGGAGGCGGCAGTTTCTCTGGCGCAGGAAGTGATCCAGCTGTCGCTGAAGAGGAAGAGAGTGGAGGAGTGTGGCGACGAAGGGGAGGTGACTTGCGCCATTTGTCTCGACGGAGTGCGATCGGAGGCAGAGGTGGCGGTCATGCTCTGCAACCATTCCTCATTTCACGTGTACTGTCCTTTGACTTGGTTGCAAAGAAACCTCTCCTGCCCTCTCTGCTACCGCAAGTTTTCCATCTGTGATTCTTGATACCATTAGGTTACGGGCGGTGCATACTGCTTACTCAAGCAGATTTTTTTATTATTGCACGAAATTAATATTTTCCATCATTATTATTAATTCCAAGTGCAGTTTTCTTTAATAATTAAGGAGTACGTATTAATCGAGAATTTCTTTATAATAAAGTCTGATATGATCTTCATTTAGTCTTTAACAAATTATTATTACGGAGTATTATAAATGTATGTGAACGTCCAATGAATTATATGTATTCTTCTGAAGTTAATGTAATCATAATCGTGAAGTTTTTTATTTTCTTTCAATTAATGAAGAATTTCAAGTGTCGATCTAAGAGCATCTCTATTCTTGCTACTCAATTTTACAATTTTTTTATGACTTGTTATTGTCATGCCATTTTCATATAAGAAAATATTAAATAATATACAAACAATTAATTTCTCATCAACCATGATTTTAATTTACCTAGATTTTTTAATTCCCAATATTTGTCTTTTGGAAGTGATCGATGGATCACTCAACCAAGTTTAGTGGTTGTGACATTTCATATTTCATGTTTTTGGAGAGGAACCAAGTTTAGATGTTTGGGAGTAATCTTCAATAATCCCAGATTTAAGGGGGTGTCCCTGATCTGAATTCTGCGGGTTTTTAAAGGATTCTTAGAATCCTTCTAAGTTTTGATATCCTCAACATGGAATATAATGGAATCCTTCCAAATTCTTATATCCTCAACAATTCTATGGATTTTTAAATACTTGGATTTCTAAGGATTTGGAAGGATTTTTGGGCTAAAACGTGGAGGAAACATTCCAACCTACAATCTCGCCCAACTCCCTAGGATTTCACTGGAATCTGAGGAACTACTTCTGCTGCAACTCAAGCGAGACTTGGAGAAGGGCTACGTTTGGTTAATAGCGGATTGACTTCAATCCATCATTTTTTTCAAAATGAAAACGCTAAATTTTGCAGCGATTTGCTGTCAATCTGCCAAGAAACAAACAAGGCCAAGGAGCCAGAGCCGCGGAGGTGTCGAGCTGCGGAGGACAGGGAAGTCCGATTGTCACTGCTATGCTGCGAGGAGCGGAGGCCTGGAGCTGTCAGGTGTGGTCTCTGCAACTCCAACTTGCCGAGAAGTAACGTCGACGAAGCAGGCGAGCGGAGAAGCAAGCAAACGGTGAAAGTGATGTTAGAGCTTCGTGAAGGTGGCATCAAACCTAGGTCGAAGCTTGATTCTCAAAGTCGCTGAGGGAGGATTTCCAATTCCATGGAATTTCACAGATTCTATCCAATTCTATTAAAATCCATTGAAATCCCACTTCTTTAAAATCTTGTGAAATCTTAATCGAGGACACCCCCTTAAAATTTGATACCAGATTTTTTGATCAAATAATCCCAAAGTCTCAACAATGATCTCAAAAGATATCATCCACATCATCAAAATAATCCTCAAATTAACTTATGGATGGAGATGCCCTTACAACTTCCTAAGCATGTAATTATTTTATTTATTTATCAATGGGAAATGGTATGATCAATGATGATAAATATACACCTTTAAAGAATCACATTTTTTCTAGTAATATTATGAAAATGTAATGCTCCTTACATATTAATATTGGGTGTTTGATAATGTGAAAATTTTGATTTTAAAACTATCCTATCAATTAATAGTTTTGCTTATTGGATGTTTACAAAAGTTTGATCAGTAACATTTTTAACGTTCCTCAATTGCTTGGATCAATTGTAATTATATTCTCTACCCACAAATAAGTAACAAAATATTTATATATCTAATGACAAGTATTTTTGTTAGTACGAACTTTGTCGAACTTTGTGCTCTAAAAAATCCATCCAAAATTTTTAGCAGATGTAAATCCGAGTAGGTCAAACTATTTGTATGTTTCCCACTTTTTGACATAGTTAAACATATGTAACATATGTATCCGTTTATTAGTCTGTTAAATTACACTAGGTAACAATTAAACCCTCCGAATCCCCCGACCCCTCGATTCCCAACTGTACTTCAGTATCATATTTCCTACGTATGATTGTAGTGCATATATAGTTCGTAGATACTAAGTATAGGCCATTAGCTCCTTACAAGTTTCCCAAACGCTACCTTGGGAGTGTAATAGAGAAATATAGGTTCAAACAAAAGTATGGGTTCTTCGGCCGCAGGAGTCGAAAGCTGGAGCAGGGAAATGCCTCCAACCCACTTTATCTTCCGCATTTCTTCCTTTTCTTTGCTCTCAGAAACAAAATATGACATGTTTGAATCTGGTGTTTTTGAGGCTTCTGGTAAAAAATGGTACCACCTGGCCTCACTAGTTACATACTACTTGTTTAACTATTGTGTAAATATATACTTATTGCTCATCATTCTGTATTCATATATATGTCCATTCTTGATATGTAAAATATGTAAAGAGTGTCACAATTATATTGTTGTGTTTCTTGGTGTATATACATATTGTGTGTGTAGGAAGATGTGCGTGTATCCGAAAGGAAACAAGAAAGCAAAGGGGACTGACCATATATCCCTTTACCTGCAAATTGTGGATACTGAAAAGTTTCCCGGAGGATGGGAGATTCACACCAAGTTTTGTCTCTTTGTCTATGATCATTTCAATGACAAGTATTTGGCTTTCCAAGGTAATTCCATGTAGCTATACTACATAGTACTTTAGAAGTGCATAACAGTGAAGAAATGATAAAAATATGGGCTTCCCTTTTACATTGCAAAAATAAGACTAGTAAAAAAACCACTATGAGAAATGACAAAAATACAGGAGTGGAAGCCTTGTTTCCAAATAAAATAAGATTAGGAAAAAATCCACTATGAGAAATGACAAAAATACATGAGTTTCGAAACTCTTGTACAAAAATACAGGATTTGAAAGCTTTCTTTCCGAATAGAATAGGGTTATGAAAAAATTAAATAACAAAATAACCATTTGAAAGGGAGGTAAGGTGGGGTTACAAATAAAATAAAATCTCATTTTTCTTTAAATTGTTGTACTACCTCCATCCCGTCGGAAGGTTCCCATAGCAAAACGACATGGTTATTTAGGCAATAATTAAATAAACTACTTTGAGTATATTTTGAGAAATAATTTAATAGGTATATATTATAATGTAGTTAGTATTGATAACTGTGATGTTATAAATGTATTATTTTTAATATTTAATGATTAATTTGTCAGTTAAGATTGTTAATTGTTTCCTAAAATAGAAATGAGAACCTTGTAACGGGACATCCAAAAAAGGAAAAGTGAGAACCTTCTAATGGGACGGAGGGAGTAGCTTTTTTATTTGTAATTTAATACATACAAAAAATCAAAATTCATATCGTTTTATAATTATTAATATGACACCGATATTGCATACATAAAGTTTAAACAAAAATTGAAGTTTAAGTTGCAAGAGCTTTTCAGATCAATTTTTTCAAATAGATTCAAGTGCTAAAACTAAGATTACGTTATTAAAATATTTTTCTTAATTACAATGAGATTAATTTTAGCATTTGAATATGAAAAACCTCTCCCGGTTCAAACTTTGTTTATGTTAAAAACGTTAGATATGCAATATTGGTGTTGAAGTTACAATACTTTAAAAAATGAGGCTTCTGAATGGGTCAAATAAAATAAAAAATCTTTTCCTAATTCACTTGAATCTCTCTTTCCCATTACCATTATTTTGGTAGTGCTTATACCGTGGTACCGGTGCATGGTGAGCACCATGCACCCTTTGTTATTTTTTATTTCTCATTTTCTTAAAATTGTTAATAATTTTTTTATTTTTGATCCGATTTTTATAAAATTTATATCAAAATTTTTTATTTTTCATGATTTTTCAAATGAGACCAATATTGCCTATGTAATTTTAATTTTTTACATTCATACATTTTTTTGTAATATATTTTTATATGCATACACTTTTTCTATAATATATTTTTTTTATCACTTTTATATGTTTTAGAGGTTTTTTAGGATATTGAGTTTGTTTATTTTTCTTCTAGCTTGGAGTTACATTTGATAATATACGAATTTACATCATCTTATACTCCAGTTACAAGTTATTATATGTGAGTTACATCTTGTTATGTGTGAGTTACATCTTGCTATACACGAGTTACATACTTTTATGCGTGAGTTACATGTAATTATGTGTGAGTTATATCTAATTATTTGTGATTTTTTACTTATCTTTATCTTGAACTAATTCAATTATAACTGCATTAATTTTTTTCTTTGCCAATTTAATACAAAATTTTATTAATCCACATTAAATAAGTATATTGTATTTCATATTCATACACTATTTTTCAAATGATAAAAATGAAAGATGTAGCAGGGGTTTATTTCATGGTGTAACTCACATATATTAAGATGTAACTCTTGTATATTAAGATGTAACTTCATGATATATTATCAAATGTAACTTCAAAATAATTTGTTAAAATTACATAAGCAATATTGGTCTCATTTGATAGATCATGAAAAATAAAAAAAATTGATATAAAATTTATAAAAATCGGATATCAAATAAAAAAGTTATTACAATTTTTAACAATAAAAGAAAACAAATAATGAATGTTGCGTCGTTTTGGGATCAGGCGCATCATCCTCATGATGTGCCGATCCCAGGGTATAAATTTCGTTATTTTGGAGTCCATGTTGGCTTCTCCAGTAAAACAAGAAAACATCCCTTAACTATTTTATGTTTAGTATAAATATTGGTTGAAGAAATTTAAATATATAGTTTTATGTAGACCATCAATATTGGATAATTCATATACTTTTAAATCTATACAGAATTCAAATTTAAATAATGTATGCGGAGTATTGAAGTATACAAAAAGTCCTTTGTCACCAATATGTATATAGGTTTTGATATTATGAGTTATATGAATTTGGAATTATTGAAGATCAAAGTAAAAAAAAAAACACCCCCAATAAGTCATTTATCACCAATATGCATTTACGTTTTTGATATTATACGAGTTGTATGATTTTTGAATTATTGACGGTCAAACTAAAAACAGACCCAAAAAGTCAGTTGTCACCAATATGTTACTTGACATTCCCGCATGTGTACTGTACAAGTGTGTAACTCGATTCAGTTCATGAAATGGATCTAAATAATATTTCACTTTTTCTTTAGTTTTTATTTTGAAACCATAAGTATACCATACTTTGTCTAATTCAATGAATTATAAAAATCTTTTACGTACTCTCTCACAAAATTCTTCGAAACCATGAATGTACTGTTCTTTGTCTAATTCAATGAATGATTAAAACCTTTTACTCCCTCTATCTCATAAACTTATTTCACTTAACTTTTTGTGACTCCCAAACAATTATTCTCATTCCCCTTCTAGAAATGTTTTGTGTGACTACATTAATGTGTTTTTTCTTACTCCATTACAATCATACACTTCAACTTTATTCTCACTTTCTTGAACTGTGATCCAATTCAAATTGAAAAAATTTTTATAGGATGGATGGAATATTTATTATACAGATGCAGGTAGCAAAACAAGGAGGTTTAACTGTGTGAAAACCGAATGGGGTTTTGATAAGTTACTTCCATTATCTACTTTCAACGACCCCTCTAAAGGGTACTTGGTCGATGACACTTGTGCATTTGGAGCTGAGATTCTTGCGGTTTCAATTGCGACAAAACATGAATTTCTTTCAATGGTAAAGGAGCCAATGGGGCGATCTTATACATGGACTGTGAAAAACTTTGCAGCACAGAAGAGAAACCAATCAATTTCCTCTGAGTTCATTGTTGAAGGAAGAAAATGGTAGGAGTACTTTTTTTCTTTGTTTTGTTTGACAAGTAATTATTGTTTGCTTTTAACATATTATCTCCATTAATGTTTTCAAAAACTACGGAGTAAAAATATATTCAAAAACAATCAAAACTTGACTTTAGCATCTCCATTGGCTCGTTTGATAGCAAGGGTTTAATTTAGGAATCGGGGATCCTTTAGGCTGAAGAGTAATTACACTAGACTTAAACATTAGTGGGATAAACTAAATCATCGTCATTCATCATCATCACCATTAATCTAGTGACGCAAAGGTTCCACCTACCCTGTACTGAAGCATAAATAGACTGTTAACGGACGTCTCATAGTTAAAGATGCATAGAAAAATGCATTGACTAACTATTGCTTAATAACTTTTTTAACCCGGAAGGCAAACCATCAAAATCAGTGGTACAAATGTCGGGAAACATTTGTTGAGTTTTATTAGATTAAGAGAAAAATATAGAGGAAGAGGCGGACTAGACCAGACAATTTAGTGAGTCATTTTGATTTATTTACGGAGTATCATATTTCCAAGCAAAAGAATAATGATTCTTTAGCTCCATTGCTAATGATGGAAATGGGATAAGTTAAATATGAAAAAGAAAGAAATTACACAAGAAAAAATTGTTATGTACTTCATCTCAACATAGCCGATACATAGATTTTAGTTTAGTTAATATTATCCACCAAATACAACCCTTGTTAGATCATTTTCGGAATATTGTGTTGGAAATTCCAATCCACCAAACGTAACGAATCGAGTCGAATAGTGCGATTTTGTATTTGTATTTGTTTAATTTTTTTGAATACGAATCCGAATTCGAATATGAAACGACCTCACCCTAACTCTACCATGGTCATACTCCCATACACTACTCCTACCCCTACCTACCCTTCACCTTACCTAACCCTTGACCCTAGAGTAGGGGCTTAATCAAGGAAAGGGTACGGGTACGAGGTATGGTACATGATGGGGTTGGGGTCAGGGTCAGGGGGTAGGGTACGCGGGTGGGGGGTGGGGGTAGGGGTAGGGCGTAAGGTTGTAGTAGGGGTAGGGAAGGTGTAGGGGTTAAGGGGAAGGGTGTGGGGTAGTGGTAGGGGGTAGGTGGGTATGGGTATGGGTAGGGTTTATTCGATTTGTATCTGTTTAACAATACAAATAGTTATACGAATCATATACGAATATCGAATCGATTTGATCATAAGTTAAATATTAGTCAAATATTGCTTTAAAGCAATTTGTCCTATAATTCATATGTTATAAATGCATGCTATGATTTAATATGCGTTTTACGTAGAACACTATATACTAAAGTGAATCAATTTTATGTTTACTATACACAAATATATTTCAAAGTTTTTGAAATAAACATTGACTCACATGTATTAGAGATTATACCTATAACGTGTGAAATAACTTGATAACTGTATATATGTAAGACAAACGACTCTAAGTTTATGTTAAATATTTAATTTAATGTTGTTGATAATGTAAAATACCATTAGATTTATAGTTTATACCATCCTCCGTATCCCATTAATTGCAACATTGGAATATATATACTATTCATATACTTTACTTTGGCTACATTTTATTTATTGATGTATGTGAATTATTTTTTTTTGAAAAATATTGTTAAATTCGTCTCATTACTAAGTTTTATAATCTTATTTTTATTTTATTTTTACTAATACATAATTAAATATAATGACGGTCAAAGTTGTGCATTGACAAACATGAAATGTTGACTATTGCAACTAAAAAAAGACGGAGGAAGTATATTACATACACATGTGGGTAGTTGATACACATACACGTACTAGTTTGTTGGTTTTGTTTAAGTATAAACAAATATATGTTTGATTATTTTTCGAACCAAATACATACTTATGTGCATTCGTATTTGAAAGATGTTTGAACCAAACATCATATTTGTACTCGTATTTATTTTCTATATTTTTGATCATATTTAAAGCATAATTTATGAATCCAAATCATGAATCGAATTAAAATCATTTGTTTTCGTTTTCAACCCTTACTTCTTATGATACTTCTGGTTTTTTACAAATTGGCTTGGAATGTGCATACGTAAATGTATGTATGGGCTACACTTTGAGGGCATAGCTAGCTTTTAAAAGTTATTATAGTATTATTAATTTACTACTACTACTATTATCGTTATTATTATTAATGTCACTATTACTAATCGAATATATTTGATTAACATTCGAATCGAATATGCTAATATGCGTATTTGTATTAGTATAACATTTTAAATCAAATTTAGTATTATTATTTGTATGTATTTGAATTTTTGAAATCAAAGCGTCTTATATGAATCTAGCCTAAATTATTTGATTGGTTTACAACTCTTCTCCACAGGAAACTACAAATCTATCCTTGTGGAGACCCCCTCAAGTCAAAAGGACCGAAGTTTGTCCCTTTTCCTGGTTTTGGCTGATTTTGCGGACCTCACTCCGCTTGCTAGAAAAATATATGCCAAGTTCCTGCTCCGAGTTCTTGACCGAGTAAACAACGAGCATCATGAAGAACAAGGTTACTTAAACTGAGTAGTTTCCTTTTAGCCTGCTTACATATGCGTCTACTATTTCATCTTTTACTTGTCTGGTGGATACTGCTATAGTTTTCTGCAAACTTTTCTTAGGCCTCTTTGTTTTGTGTTCAACTATGCAGTGGAACACTTTTTTCATAGCTCTTCTAATTGCTCTGGCAATTCCAAGTTTATGAGTCTTGCTCAGCTGGAGAGTGTTTCCAAGGGTTTCCTGGTGGATGACTCCCTCGTTGTGGAAGTTGAATTTAAGCTCTTGTCCAAATTTTCTTAGATATATGGGATATTTAGCTATAGTATATATATGCACTCTTGTCCTACAGTTTGTTAGTCAAATTTCTGTGTGAAATGCTTATGGATGGTGTAGTTTCTGCCACATTATTTATGTAGTATATCCTATATTAGTATCATACATGCTTTCTATATACTAATATACAAGTATATACTTCTTGCATTTCATAAATTTTCGTCAAAGTTGACTTAGAGAAAAAATGAAATAAGAATGTATACATTGGGAAAAAATTGTCTAACATATTACTCATACATTTGCATGTTGTGGGCACAAGTATGACTTTGTTCTCAATTTAAACAATTGTTTTTGTTTGGATACATATATGACTAGATTTCATGTTGGAAATTAATAAGATCATTTTTACTCGATAACTCAAATATACTTAAATGACCAAGCATTGTCGTTGATCTTCTTAATTCAATCATGACTTTTGTCTCTTCCATTCCACATTTCCACCCTTCTTAATCAAGCACCGTTGTCGATTTTCTTATGAGATAATTACCTCTATTATGATTAAAAGAACATGTCTTTCTTAATGTATGACTTGATGAGTTTTTATTCCTAATGTGTTACCGGCATATGATTTTTTTATTTTTGATTTTGTTTCCATTAGTACCCTCCTTCCAGTTAATGAATGGACAGTTACATCCTAAAAATAAGGAATGACTTTGCTTTTCACGGAGCATGAGCATACGTATTAATCGTTTAGAAGGTGTAACGGGCGTATTAATCGGACTTCCTAAAAATAAGGATTCAAAGAATACAAGGTAACTGCTTTCACATATATTCGTACTCTTCTTCTACATAGGTACGTTCCCCGACGTCAAATTTACAATGCGCTTCTTCTGTTGTACTGCCCTTATTTTCACTGCCATTTACGTGCTACTCCTACTTTAATTTACCAACTACATAGTACACATTACTATCCTCGACTACCTACTAGCTATTGCCCTAAAACATAGAAGTATGTATGATGGGGTATATGGCCCAGGGATCCCCGGCCGATAGACTCCTACTGCTCTAAACCAAGGCCCAATAGGCCCAGGAAGCACAACAGGCCCAAATCACAGCGCCCCGAGTACCAAGCAGCCAACAATACACACTGGGGGTGCCTTCGGCCCCTTGGTCGAAGGCTCCTGATACTCACAGAAAGGTTATTTTCAGCATACAAAGTTACTGGGAGAAAACGGCGGAAAACGGTAGCCCTTGGCGCCTGGAGCCTTCGGCCTTAAGGGGCCTTCGACAGGAAGAGCCCTCGGCTAATAACCTACAGCCGAGGGTACCTTCCCCGACAAGAATATCCTCTCCACATGCGCCTGGGTCGCCATACCAAGTACAACATCACATCCAACCGCCGCATTAAATGTGGCCACATGCAAATGCCAGTGACACTCGATTGATGTGACCCCTCGGTCGTTGAATACATGACACGTGTCCCCTTCTCGCATTTATTGCTACTATAAATAGCACCCTATTTCCCCTTTGTAAACCAGATTCAGAATACGCTTTGAACTCATATATTCAATACACTTTCTCTCTCTTACTTGCCCTACCTTCTCTCTAGTTACTCCCCGCAGCAACCCTTCGGATACATACGCCTCGGGGGAAGGCGCTCCAAAGGCCTCAGGAAAGTGGCGGATCCGTTTCCCAGGCGGATGAAAGACGTCCTCCTCAGGACAAAGGCAAGGCACCTCTCCATGCCGACGACGCCCGTCACCACATCAACCAGGCCCACTCAGGCCCGTGTCCGTTCGCAGGAGGCGGAGGCCCTCCCGAAGGACCCCCGGGACGAAATCATTGCGGCCCTCCAGCGCCATCTTGACGAGATGGAGGCCACCAAAGCGCACACCACCGCTTCTGCCCCTCATGCAGACCTGAAGTATGAGGCCATGTTGGCCAAGATGGAGGAGATGCAGAAGAAGATAGCCGAGGGCTCCAGGGAACCCACCATACAACTCCGAACCCGGACGCCATTTACCCCAAGGGTATTGGCGGCCCGGAACCCGGAAAAATACCGAGGGCAACTCATCAAGCCCTACGACGGAAAAACTGACCCCCAGGAGCACTACAGCAGGTACCAAAACAGTATGATGATGGTGGGGGCATCGGATGAGTATTTGTGCCGCCGGTTCCTCTCCACCTTGGAGGGGGCGGCTTACGAATGGTTCAACCGATTGCCCGAAGGCTGCATCGACTCGTGGCAAGAACTCGCCCAACGATTTTTGACACAAATTGCGGGAAGGGGCCAAACAAGAAAACACATCTCCCACTTGCTGACGGTGAGGCAAAGGAAAGAGGAGACCCTTCAGGACTTCTTGGAGCGTTGGAGAACGAAGGCTGATAAAATTGATGGCGCAGACGACGGGACCCTCCTGGCCCTCCTCCAAACAGTGCTCCGCCCTGGAAACTTCTTAAGGAGCCTCATCATCGACCCCCCCCCCCCCCCCGCGATTACATAAGGGTCCTACAGCGGGGTGACCGATACGCCGAGGCCGAGGAGGTGGGAAAATGCCATCACAACCCCGATCAGCAACGTCCTCATCCAGATGATAAAGCCAACCGGGGGTCGGAGGCTCCTCATAATCAACCCAAGGGTTTGGCACCCCCCGGTGATCACCCCCGGCACGGCCAAGCCAAACCCGGGGGAGGTTACAAGGGTAAGCCGAAGACTTGGGCGCAGGCCTGTTCTCCTAGAGCACCCTCGGACACCTTTGACGCACCCCGTCAGCGTCATCCTCGACTTCGCGGAGGAGAGGGGCCTGGTGGAGCGAGATTCTCGCGCACCACTGGAGGTATATGCCATCAATCCAAACTACCCCTACTGTCGCTTCCACCGACATCAAGGGCACAAAACCGATGACTGCCATCAACTGAAGACATCCATCGAGAGGTTAATACAGGCGGGCCATCTGTCCCAGTTTGTCCAGGGCCCTCAGCAACAGGGTCCTCCCTACCAAAGGCCACCCCGAGGGCGTCCAGCGAAAGAAAACGCTTGGGTTAACCCAAACACCATCCCCCTCAGCGGGAAGAGGGAGATCGGAAATTTTGAAGAGGAAGAAGAAGAGTGCCCCCACGGCCTGGAGAAGAAGCACCACATCCTCATGATCACCGGTGGCAATACAGAGGGGACTTCACCAGGCAACGGAAGAAGTGGGCTCAATCGCTATACGTAGGGGAAGTCACTCATATGCCCCCGGTAAAGCGGCTGAGAGAGGAGCCCATCACATTCACGAACGCCGATCTCCCCTCTGCTTCCTCCCCGCACAGGGATGCCCTCGTCATCCGTACGGAGATCATTGATACTATCATCCACAGAACTTACGTTGACACGGGCAGCTCCGTCAATGTAATGTATCTCAGCACCTTCAGAGAGCTGCATCTGGAGAGGGGGTCCCTTCGGCCCATCAAGACCCCTCTTGCCGGCTTCACCAGTGACACCATTGATTCCGAGGGGGTCATAACCCGCCCGGTACTATTCGGTGACGGGCTCCATAGAGCCAAGCTCGAAGTGGAGTTCGTCGTCGTCAACATCGATTGCGCCCACAACATCATCCTCGGCCGACCAGCCCTCGAGGATCTCGAATCCATCATCTCCATGAGGCACCTCTGCCTCAAGTTCCCAGCCGAAGGGGGCATCCGCTACTCAAAGATTGCCAAAATCGAGGAGCTCAGCCTCTCCAGCATACATGTTAGCCCCGTCATGCACATACAATGAAGGCAAGAGGACTGGATCTCAGATATTGTCGCCTTCATCACCACAGGGCAACTGTCCGAGAATGAGGCCCGTGCCAAGCTAGCAAAAGTGAGGGCTCCCAGCTACACCATCGAGGACGGAAGGCTTTACAAAAGATCATACAACGGGACGCTACTTCGGTGCCTTCATCAAGATGACGCCGAGGTTACAATGGAGGAGGTGCACAGTGGCACTTGCTCAGCTCACCAGGGACTCTTCTCCATGTCCCGGAGGCTCATAATCCAAGGCTACTTTTGGCCTACAATGGCTCGGGATTGTGCGGATCTCGCAACGAAAGTGTACCGCGTGCCAACACTTCTAGAAAGCCCCCGGCATGGCAGCGGTCAACTGTGCCCCCATCAGCACATCCATACCCTTCGCTCGATGGGGCATAGACCTTGTGGGCCCTCTGCCGAGGGGTACCTCCAACAACAGGTACATCATCGTCGCCATTGACTACTTCACCAAGTGGGTGGAAGCTGGGCCCCTCGCAAGCATCACCGAAGCCAAATGCCGTCATTTTGTTCTCAAGAACATCCTCACAAGGTTTGGCGTCCCCCAGCAAATCATCTCTGACAACGGGACTCAATTTGAGGCAGCCCCCTTCTGTGCCCTACTAGAGGCATGGGGCATCAAACACACCTTCTCCTCTGTTGCCTACCCTCAGGGCAACGGCCTAAGTAGAGAACGCCAACCGGATCTTGCTCGAGGGCCTAAAAAAGAAGCTGGAGGCCGAAGGGGGGGGGGCTAGGTAGAAGAACTCCATAACATCTTATGGGCCTACCGCACCACCCCTCGGTGGGCAACAGGTGAAACACCCTTCTCCCTTTGCTACGGGTTTGAGGCTAAAGCTCTTACGGAGGTGACCCTTCCTACCCGAAGGGTGATCCAATATGACCCCAAAGTCAACGATGCCAACATGGCCCCCGACCTCCACCTCATTTCAGAACGCCGAGAGCAAGCCTTCGTGCGAGCAGAAAACTACCGAAGGCAAGTCAAAAGCTACATTGATGCCAAGGTTCGCTCTCGAGAGTTCCAAGTGGGGGACTATGTCCTCCGAAGGAGGGAAGCTAGCCAACCAACCGAGGGAGGCAAAATGGCACCATACTTTGAGGGCACATACATCATTGCAGCCGTCATCAAACCAGGGACGTACAAACTCAAACGCCCCAACGGGACCGAGGTCCCTAGGCATTGGAATGTACACCACTTAGTTAAATTTTATCAATAACATTAGAGCGGCCAAGCCCTCATAACTAGTGAATGTATTATTCTATGGCCCAAGGCCTCCAAGTTTTAAAGAATGAAGGCATGTTGAAGACACCAAGGACAAGAAACAAGACCCTTGT